CTTTGAATATATTCAAATTACAAAATTAGCACAGCTTCCGGACTTCATCAAAATTAAAACTTTTGTGCATCAAAGGACTTTAAAAATGAAATGAAGAGACAACCTACATACTGGGAGAAAATATTTGGGAATCATAAATCTGATAAGGGTTTAATAACCAGAATATAGAAAGAACTTCCACAACTTAACAAGAAAAAGACAACCTAAACGCAACCCCCGCCCCCCCAAAAAAAATGAGGGAAGGAATAGACATTTCACCAAAGAGGCTATATAAACGGCCAACAAGCATATGAAAAGATGCTCAATGTCATTACTCATTTTGTTCTTAGGTGCCATCGAGTCAGTTCCAACTCATAGCAATCCTATGTACAACAGAATGAAACACTGCCTAGCCCTGTCCCATCCTCACAATTGCTCCTATGTTTGAGCCCACTGTTGCAGCCACTGCTTCCATCTCATTGAGGGTCTTCCTCTTTTTCGCTGACCCTCTACTTCACCTAGCATGATGTCCGTCTCCAGGGACTGGTGTCTCCTGATAACATGTCCAAAATATGTGAGATGAAGTCTCATCATCTCGCTTCTAAGCAGCATGCTGGCTGTACTTCTTCCAAGACAGATTTGTTCGTTCTTCTGGCAGTCCATGGTATATTCGAAAATTTTCCCCAACACCATAATTCAAAGGCACCAATACTTCAGTCTTCCTTATTCACTGCCCAGCTTTCCAATGCATATGAGGCGACTGAAAACACCATGGCTTAAGTCAGATGCACCTTAGTCCTCAAAGTGACATCTTTGCTTTCTAACACTTTAAAGATGTCTTCTGCTGCAGACTTGTCTAATGCAATACAACATTTGATTTCTTGACTGCTGCTTCCATGGGCATTGATCGTGGATCCAAGTAAAATGAAATTTTTGCCAACTTCAATATTTTCTCCATTTATAATGATGTTGCTTACTGGTCCAATTGTGAGGATTTTTGTTTACTTTATGTTGAGGTGTAATCCATACTGAAGGCTATGGTCTTTGATTTTTATTAGTAAGTGCTTCAAGTCCTCTTCACTTTCAGCAAGCAAGGCTGTGCGAGCTGCATATGAGACTGTTAATGAGTCTTCCTCCAATCCTGATGCTGCGTTCTTCTTCATATAGTCCACAGGCTTCTTAGATTTTTTGCTTAGCATACAGACTGAATAAGTATTTTGAGAAGATACAACCCTGATGCACACCTTTTCTGATTTTAAACCACTTTGTTCTGTTCGAATGACTGCCTCTTGGTCGATGTACAGGTTCCACATGAACACAATTAAGTGTTCTGAAATTTCCATTCTTTGCAATATTATCCATAATTTGTTATGATCCACACAGTCGAATGACTTTGCATAGTCAACAAAACACAGGTAAACATCTTTCAGTGTTCTCTGCTTTTAGTCAAGACCCATCTGACATCAGTAATGATGTCCCTCTTTCCATATTCTCTTCTGAATCTGGCTTGAATTTCTAGCAGTTCCCTATCAATGTACTGCTGCAACTGTTTTTGAATTATCATTAGTCATGAGGGAGATGCAAATCAAAACCACAATAATATACCATTTCACACCCACTAGAATGGCTATAATAAAAAAATGAAGATAACAGATGTTGGTGAGGTTGTGGAGAAACTGGAACCCTCATCGATTGCTAGTGGTAATGCAGAATGGTACAGTAACTGTGGAAAAGTTTGGTGGTTCCTCAAAAAGTTAAAGAGAAGTACCATATGACCCAGCAATCCCAATTGTAGGTATATACCCAAAAGAATTGAAAGCAGGAACAAAAACAAATACTTGTACACACCAGTGTTCACTGTAGCACTGTTCACAATAGCCAAAAGATGGAAACAACCTAAATGTCCATCAACAGATGAATGGATAAATAAAATGTACATACATACAATGGAATATTACTCAGCCATAAAGAGAAGTGAAGTTCTGATCCATGCTACAGCATGATGAATCTTGAAAACACTGCACTGAGTAAAATAAGTCAGTCACAAAAGGCCAAATATTACATGGTTCCACTTATGTAAAATAGGAAAATGTATAGAGACCAGAGTTTATTACTGATTACCAGGGACAGGGGAGGGGGAAAGGAGGAGTCTTAGCTTAGAGGGTACTGAGTTTCTGTTAATAATGATGGAATAATTTGGAAGCTGACAGAGGCGATGATTACTCAGCACGATGAACTAATGTCACAGAATAGTACTTGTAAAAAATGCTGAACTGGCAAATGTTTTGTTACATATTTTTACCAAAATAAAAAATGTAAAAAAAAAAATAGCACAGCTTCAAGACGAAAAATTCACCGTCAGAATTAAAGAGAAGGTAAGCAGTGCTGTCCTGCAGCTGTATGACATCTTGATCTTTACTATTGCCCATACCCAGTGCTACGGTGTTCAGTACACCTTGGTATGAAACACTTTTAAACTACCTAATGATTTTTAACATGCCAAGTCTTAAATTTCTTGTCATTAAAGCAACTTTCTGAGTGTAAGATAACTTTAGAAACTTAGTAACTCTTTCAATATTCCAATCTAAAGGACTACTTTGTGAACTAGGGTATCGATTTCTAGTCAGTTATTTCTTTAAATGAATAATCTATACTCTATTCAGGTTAGAATCCAAAATTTATAAATTTGGGCAGAGAAACTGCAGATTACTACATTTTACACTGAAATTTACACAACCAACACTAACACTGCTACTTCTTCATTTAGAAACTGCTAACTCATATCCTCATTTTGCTTGCATTTGACTCCAGCAGTAAAGCCAGTATACTGCCTGAGTAGCTCATCAATAAAAATATTATAGACCCACAAGCTTGGTGACTGAATTTCCTTTACAAGTTCCTTTTCAGAGTTATGAAATGCTGATTCAACTTTGTTGTGGTATAACATCTGCATGCATTAAATGCCTACTGCTTAGTAGCTAAGTTTGTTACACATGAGAAAAATGCCAACCTTTTTGCAAAAGCACTGATTTAATCAACAAATACAACTTTATAACTCTATGGCAACAGTGCATGCAACTAATATTTCAAATGGAATGACAGATTTTTTTAACTGACTGTAAACCTATTATCCAATTTCTACCAAAAAAACATGAAAGCTAAACATACACTGAGAATTTTACTATGATTACCCTGATACTTTTCATACTCATCAGGAAGAAGAGAGGCACCATAAATTCCCCAAATAATACAAAAATAAATAAAAATTTTGACACGCAGACGCACATATTCAGTTGCAAACTCTCTGACCCTGTTTAAGACAAAGCAGATGGACACAAATAATTCACAAAGGATATGTCGCCTATGCACAATTAGGAGTTGAAACTGAATATATGTCTTTTGTTATATTTTTTAAAACAGGAAACACAAAACCCATTGCCGTCGAATTGATTCCAACTCATGGCAACCCTACAGGACAGGGCAGAACTGCTCCACAGGGTTTCCAAGGAGTGGTTGGTAGATTCGAACTGTCCACCTTTTGGTTAGCAGCCGAGCTCTTAACCACTGTGCCACCAGGGATCCAGTAAAAAAAGACAGGAAAATGCTTACCACTATTCTCAATTATAAAATGCCAAAGTAAGCCATGCTTATTATCAGTACTGTTTATAACTCCAACATGTTACTGAAGAGGCAAATGCAGTTCATTCAGGAATTGTTTACTAACATTTGGTGACAAACGGTACTCACCAAGATAATGTTTAAAGAATATATCAAGGGAGTTGAAACAAATAGAAGGAAATCCAGTGGTAATCTTAACACACACAAAATTCATAGTGTTATTCTGAATTAAGGATTGAACAAACTACTCCATCCAAGAAACAGACTCCCTCAACAATCTTTTCTTCTTTTTCCAAATTAAAATCATTTCCTCTTCTTCATGATTTCCAACAGGCTCTCTGAGCACACTACCTCCAGCAGGTTTGTACTCTTCTGGGCATCTGAAAGAGGGCCTGGAGTCCACATCCTCAACACGCTGGAACTTGCCTAGATCTGCCAGAAGTAAGCAACACAACTGGTAAAGCACCCAACAGTAAAAGACCTGAAGCCAGCAAATGAGAACTGTTCAATCAGCCTAGGGCTCTGCAAGAATCAGAAGAGGCCTCACAATGGAATTCTTCCATGGCATGTGAAGAGACACAAGACTGGAGGAGGAGGGGGGTTGCAGAAAGGCACTTAAAAATAGCCAGTCACAGAAGCCTGGGAGGAACATATGCATTCTAGGAAGCTGACAGTTCGTGGGCAGTAGTGAGCAGTAAAAGGGATAATAAAGTAGATCTATAGGGAAATGAAATTTAAGAGTCTTTAATAATATGAATTTGGAATAAAAAAAGAGAAAGGTAGAATTAAATGTGCAATTTAGGTTAATCTCATATTTAAGGTATGCCACGTACTCGTAAACTGAGACAAGTCCTTTACCTTCATAGTATTTCCATTTCCACACCCCTAAAATGACATTAATACATTTGCTCTATATCTCTATTTTCTCTACGCTAAAATAACATTAGAAGAAAGATAACACTTTGAAGAAAGTATAAAATACTAAGCAATCTTAAAACACAAGTATTCGTGTAGCTGCTGTGTAATCTATCAGAGACTTTTCCTTTCCTTCAACTGTCTAAATGCATGTGAATTTGTAATAAGAGTTTCTTAATTCTATTGACCCCTCTTTATCCCATCCACCATACTTATTTCTCTTCCTAAGTTTAGTTCTTTTCTGCAACTCCTCTCCACCACTAGCTAAGCAGAATGCTGTTCTACGAATAATTAGAAGTTGTGGAACACAAAAGTTAGATGAGTCAGACTTTAGGACCACAGTTTTTACTACATATATAGCAAGATTTTCTTTAAAGAACAACTGTGTCAATTAAAAATATTATCCACTTAACGTAAAGTTTAATTTGTAGAAGGGAATTTCCTATGAGAATTAGGCATTAGAATATGCAACACTTTTTGAAACTCACCTATTTCTAATTATTGCTATCATCAACTGGAAGCGCAGATCAGTGCCTTCGGAGTCCAGGATTTTAATCTCTACTTCTCATTCTGCCACTAATTCACCATAGGAACTGCATCTAAAAAAAAAAAAAAAAAACACTTCCCCTTTCAGTACTTTGACCTTATACACTAACCTGATTCCTATGTTGGGTACTGACTTGAGGTCTAGAGAATTCTGTTGTGTCATTCAAACATCTGCTGGTAATTTGGTGACCACCTCCGCCCCCCAAGATCTATTCTACAAATCATTATAAAGGAAGGTACTGTAATTCCAAGATGAGAAAATCCTAAGGCACTTAATATAGTAATAAGAAGTCCTGTCCTCTGTTGGACACATTCTTTCAGGAGATTGCTGGTCATCTCACAGGGTGCCTTACCCACTCCTTCAGCTACAACAAATGTCCAGTTCCTCACAGCAAATGGATGAAGAAGCTCCCTCTACCACAGATTCTCTCAAAGGCCTGCCACAAACACATCTCAGGACAATAATCGTATTTCTCTCTTTTCATTTACAGGGTAGGTGAGGTATGGGTACAGAGTGGGAGAAGAGGTGGCACTGGTGAAAAGGATAAAAATATTTACATTAATTAGGACTCAAATATGCTAATAGGTTTAATATTTAATATACACTGCAACTACAAAGTGCTAGTCTTTTACTGCTTTTTTTTACCCCTTTTGAAAACTGAGATTAGTGATATATTAAATCCTAAATTTAAACATTTTATCTTCCTTTTTTCCTTCCCAATTATTTGCTGAAATCATATTGAGTGGCAAACATAATTTTTTTCATGCAGTACAGTGTGATTCAAGGCAAGCAGAAACAGGTATCAAATATGCTGTCACAAATGACATTAAGAAACATATAAACAAACATTCTGTTGTTTAATTTCAGAATGTATTTTCATCTATCATCTTAAAACACTTTTTCAGAGATTTAAAAAAATCTTTATTATGAGGAGAAGGTTGGGCAACATCTGTGATGTTATGAATTTCACCTCACAGATGATCGCCAGGTCCCCTGGTGGCGGCAGTGCTAGGTATTGGACTGGAAAGTCCACAGATCCCATTTAAATGAACTGCATTAACTAATTTGTTAACTAATTTGATGTGCAGGCAGTCCCCGGGTTATGAATGTCTGACTTACAGACAACTTGTACTTAAAAACAGACTGCCATAAAGTCTATTATATCAAAATTTTGAGTCAAATACAATGGTTTGTAATAACAAACACAAAAACTACTTTGTGACATTCATGAAAACACTGCATGGTTTGGAAGTGTTTCTTAAATGTTTTATCTGCATAAAAAAAAAAAAAAAAACCTGTTGCTATCAAGTCAATTCTGACTCATAGTAACCCTATAAGGCAGAGTGGAACTGTCCCATAGGATTTTCAAGGAGTGGCTAGTGGATCTGAAGTGCTGACTTTTTCGTTAGCAGCTGAGCTCTTAACCACTACACCACCAGGGCTCCATTTTGTAAGACAAATATATATACCATATACTATGACAAACATTTGACTAACTGATGCTAAATAAGAACCGTACATAGTACCTGTTCCGACTTTCCTACAAATTCAACTTAAGAGACAGACTTAAGAAC